ATACTACTATATTAATTATTATATATATATATATATATATATATATATATAGAGAGAGAGAGAGAGAGAGACAGGAAGAAGCCCAATGTTCATAATATGAGCATAAGAGAAAAAAATACCAAAAACTATTTTTCTCATGTAATTTCCTCGCTTGGACTGTAAACCTTAAAGGAAGACCTCACTTGGGCTGAAAACCCTAAAGAAAGACCTTAATACATTCTCTAGCCACATCCATTCACTTTCATCTCTTGCTTAAATATCTCAAATACCAGAAGAATGTTTAAACTAAGCCCAAATCCAATATAAGAATAGTAAAATTGAACCAAGGGACCTAAAGGAGGTCACTCCAAATCAATCCATACACTTATGCCTTCAATTATTCATACCCAAATGCGGGTACATGCACCACAAGCAAAAAAAATATTCTAATTTGAAGTTAGTGATCGGAGGAAATAAATTACCCGAACAAGTTTGTAAACAACTGGATTGACGATATCCTGTGACGTCAAAGTATCAGATTTTCCACCACGACTCTCTTCTACATGCTTATCGCCCTTACCCGCTCCAGTATCAAGTGTTTCCATGGAAAACCAACCACATACAACTCGAGCAAACAAACTGTAGAGCAACGAAATGGCATTTCAATCTTCAAAAAACCGACCAAACATAAATACTGGCAACAACAAACATACGAGTAAAACGATAGTAAAAGCCATTTGAAAATCAAAGGAGATGAAGCTACAAACAAAAACAAACATAAATAATTAAAAGGGGGGCCAGTGGTTTGGACAATGTCAATGAAGGAAAAAAAATTAAGCACATGCCTCTAACAGCAGAAAGGTAGAATAAATGCCAATTTTTTTCCTTCTTCACTCCTTTAGATTGAGCACAGAAATGCTTTGAAAGCATCACCACAATTCCGTGCATACACTGCCCATGTAAGTGTAACAGCATAGTAGTATTACTAATAGCAGAACCAAAGCAGTAGCAGTACATGTCAAAGTTTAAAAGTATATCCAAAACTCCAACTTGGCAAGTCTCAACAACAAAATCTTTTAGGAAAAAAAAAACAAGGAGAACCTTAAAGTAAGAAAGATCATTAGAATCCCAAAAAAATGAAGAACATATGAAATCTTAAAACAGAGCTCCAGGATCCTCCCTACAGCCTACAAATATGGTGAAAAACCAAAAATGGATATTTATTCCATGTGGCTGGAAAACAAGAAAATGTAGAATGTCTTTGACAACAGTCATCTGAGTTTCCAGACTTTTTCTGTTCTTATTTTATACAAACAGTCTCAATGAGACTCAGCTTAGTCTCTCTGTAATTGTTCCTCTTCCCATTTTACATGTTGACAAGTCTGAGCACTGGACCAAACCAAACCAAGTCATGCACGTCCATAGTCTTCAAAGAGCACCCATAGAAGTAATGGGTGGTGTTAGTGGGGAAGGTCGTAGTGAGAAATGGTAGTAGCATTAGTAACACTAATAGCAGTGGAATTCAGTGTTTAAAAGATGGTTCCAACTTGAACGAGCTGATTTGGCAAGTGTTAAAAAAAAAAGACAGAAAAAACAGAAAAAAAAAAAAAAAAAACTAAAACATGAAAATCCATATCAAAATAAAAAACCACTTTCAAAAATCAGATTTAATTCAAACAACTATACATTTAATTTGGATTCAAAAATCGAGGTTCTCTTTTTCTTTCTTTTTTGGAAGGAAGCGAAGAAGAAAGAAGGGGGGGGGGTTGTCTTCATCTAATTCCACCTAATAGTTGCATAGATTCAAAAAATTGATTTTCTTCCAGTATAATTGAAAAAGAACAAAATCGTGTTTTCTTAAAGAAAATAGATCAAAGAAAGAGGAGAATCAAAGAAAATAGGTGGAAAAAATTGCAGAAGAATAAAACAAAAATCGATCTCAGAGATTTTCTACTTGGATTTGAGATTTTTTAGTAGGGCTACTATAGATCAATGTGATAGGAACATTATAGAACAAATTTGACAAAATTCGGTGAAGCAACGAGAGAAAGAGAAGATTTTTTAAATGGGGTTCAAAAACTCCCAAACTTTGGAGCCTCAATTTCTTCTAATTTGGTTTTTGATTGAAAAATAGTTGGAAAATGTGTATTGGCACCAACATTTTGATGCTAATTTTGTGATTTTGGTGAAGAGATTAGGGACAAATATTGAAAATGAAAGATTGAATTTTCCATGAACAAAAACCAAAAAGAAAGTTTTGGCCAAGTTCGAGGGGAGGAATCAGACCACTTTCTGCCCCCGCGTCCTGAACTGACTCGGGTGGTTCCAATTGGGCTTGGTGATTTTTAAACCTTGGTAGTATCACACGGGGGGATCTTCATCTAATTCCACCTAATAGTTGCATAGATTCGAAAAACTGATTTTCTTCCAGCATAACTGAAAAATAACAAAATCATGTTTTCTTAAAAGGAAATAGATCAAAGAAAGAAGAGAATCAAAGAAAAAATGGTGGAAAAAATAGCAGAAGAGTAAAACAAAAATCGGTCTCAGAGATTTTCTGTTTGGATTTGAGATTTTTTAGTAGGGCTACTATAGATCAATGTGATAGGAACATTATAGAACAAATTTGACAAAACTCGGTGAAGCAACGAGAGAAAGAGAAGATGGGCTACTATAGATCAATGTGATAGGAACATTATAGAACAAATTTGACAAAATTTGGTGAAGCAAAGAGAGAAAGAGAAGATTTTTTATATTGGGTTCAAAACTCCCAAACTTTGGAGCCTCAATTTCTTCTATTTTGGTTTTTGATTGAAAAATAATTGGATGTGTATTGGCGCCAACATTTTGACACTAATTTTGTGATTTTGGTGGAGAGATGAAGTACAAAGATTGAAAATGGAAGAGTGGATTTTCCATGAACAAAAAACAGAAAGAAAGTTTTGGGCAAGTTCGAGGGGAGGAATCGAACCACTTCCCACCACCGCGTCCCGAACTGACTCGGGCGGTTCCAAGTGAGCTTGGAGATTTTTAAACCTTGGCAGTATCACAGGCAGTTAGCAATAGCAGCACCAGCAGTATTAGCAGTAGACTACCACTTGAAGAAGTAGTAGCCATCATGATAGTACATGTAGTAGTACAGAGGGTAGTAGTCATTGTTGTGGCAGCAACAATATTAGTAGTGTATCAGTAGTGGTCTTAGGAGTGGCGGTGGCAGTAGTCATAGTAGTGTAATGGTGGTACCACCCATGGTAAGGGTGGTTGAAGTAGCAGCAGTATTAGTAGTAGGTAGTATTAGTAGTAGTTGGTGGTGGTGGTGTTGTCTACATGTTAGTAGTAACCAAAACAATTATACCAAAATATGGGAAGGCCATACTTTACAATATCTATGTTCTGCTCGAAAATGATAAATTTTGTCAAAATAAACAACAATGATGGCAATTGCCAACATGTGTCTCTACCTAATTTCCCCTAAATTGGAATATATTTGTTTTAATCCAATAATTTCCTGCCCATCAAATTCGTTGCACTAATTACCAATTAGGGTAATGAAAAGAGTAAATAAATAATAAGATACAAAAGCTGCTCACATGTCCAGTGACATAAATAAGGGAAAATGTCTAGATAACAATGATTGCATGTATACATAAATAAGATCATGTGCCAAAAAGTCCATGAAGATGCAGAAATTTCTCGCTTATGTGGTTACCGGCTAGAAACAAAGCAAGAGCAATTGATCGCCATTGACAATGACTAAAAACATAGAGAATTAAGGAATTATTTCTGCCTAAATTTACTAAAATTTAAGAAAATTTAAAGGACGCAGATACTCTCTTATTTCCCTTGTCTAGTTGACCAGAAATTTAAGGAGGAACGTTAACAGAGTCCTTCCTGTATTTTCAAAATCTTACATTTATTTATTGTTCAAACTGAGAAACCAAAAATTCCCTTTTTATGAAATAAAACTTCAGAAATATTGGAAATCCATTGATGCATAGCTAGCAAAATATAACTATAATGACAAAAATAGTACTACGCCAAGTAGCATATTAAGAAATAGGGAAAAAAACAAACACATCAAATAAGGGGGAAAAAATACATTTTTAATCAGTAAAATAAAAAAAACAGACATGAAAGAAACCATGCACAATTTTTATGCCTAAAATCACACCAAAAATAAAATAAATAATCAGTAATCAGTTTTCTTCTATGTAAAGGCACTGGAAATAAAATAGAGAGTGAATATCCATGAAAAGAGAGCCACACCATAGAGTAAAGCGATCAGAACCCAAATTACTGCGATCCTTTCCTCCACATTATCTCTGCAATAAAGAAAACTACTTTCATCTCAAAAAAATGCCCTAACCCTGGAATCGCAAAATGCAGAGAAACTTGCACAAATTTTAGCGAAATTAACCCGAAAAGCAGCCTCACACTGATGAGAGAGAAACTGAAGAGAACTCGAACTCAGAGAAAGTGGACTGTTGTTGACCTTTGCCCCTCACCTTTCAACTCGTTTGTAGAGAGAAATATAATTTGAACGGATTTGAAAGCATTTTTCCGCAAAAGAAACCTGCAACTTTTTTAGAGAGAGAAAGTGTTACTACTGCTTTCATAGACCATTACACAAAGCGGAACCCAGATAGTTGTAGGCTCGATTTGATAGTGAGTCATTAAGTCCGCATTGGCTTGGTGGGCCCAAAATTGCCAACTCTGCCCCCAATTCGTACATCAAATAACTGATTCGACCCTGAAGAGGCGGGAGAATCGTTATGTCCACCATATCGACGGCCAAAATCAAAGGGCAATATAAGAATGGACGGCTCAGATAGTCCCATTATTTCAGATAAATTTATTTAAAAAAGGGAACAATATATGCGGAAGATTCAAGTTGAAACTCGAAAAAAAAGGAAACAAATTTCATGCGGCGGGACCGCATTTCTATATTTGCGGTCTCCGAAATATTAAAAGTGGTCCATCTAAAAATAATGTGAACCATTAATTTAATATATTTATTATTTTTAATTTTTAAACTTCTACTTTTTTCATATTCATTATCTCCATGTTAGAGACAACATGTCCTTATAAATTAGGTCCAAAAATCCATCTCAAAAATAAATTATTAAGGGTGACTCATTTCTACATTGACCCATAGAAACTGTCCAAAAAAATTTGAAAAACAAGCACTTTAAATAATAAATATTGTTTTGCTCTCGTGATTGGAATAAGAAAAAGTTAAGGTGAGGTTTCCAACTTGTATTATAAAAGGAAAGTGTATATTAGAAAAGAGTAATGATCCTATGAGTTCAAAAGTTGGAAAACCTTTCAATTTGATCATATCAACCACTGGTTTAAAAAACGGATCAGTGATCCGGATCGGGCTTCTAAAAAACCGATCTGGATCGGAGAATCGGCGATCCGGATCGAGAATCGGGTGAATCGGTCAGAATAAAGCTTCAAAAAAATCCAAAAAATTTATTAAAATTCATTATAAATATTGTTTTTTAGGAATTCAATAAGAAATGAAGGTACTCCATTAAGAATTTTCATGTTTTTGAATGAATATGCGAATATTGATATGTTCTTTCCCTGCATGAACCGCCATTCAGCATTTAATTTACATCACACAAAAGGATAAACATATAATTATCATGAAATAAGTATATCAACATACATGGACTACAACAAAGCATAAAATTAGTAACATATGATCTAAAAATAAAATGATAGACGACGTTATTGTTTTTCTTGGTCACGTTGGTGCCATTGATTGAATTCGTTTAACAATTCATTGATTCGATCTAAAAACGAATCATCGATATTAGCAGGCGTCTGACTATTCCCAAATCCCTGAGTGTTAGTGTTTTGTTGTGTTCCCAATCTAAAATCCCTGGAGATTGTCCATCCTTTATGCTCACCTGCATTGTCGTGCTCATCCATACACTGTTGCTGTTGGGACTCGATATGTGAATAATATGGCTAAGATAGGGTGGCCTCAGAATCATTATCTCTCTCATTTTCCCTTTGAATAATATGGATTAAAAAAAAAAAAACAAATTTTCAAAAAAATCGATCATGGATTAAAAAAAAAAATCACAAATTTTAAAAAAATTCTATCATGGATTACAAAAACAAATTCGATCATGGATTAAAAAAAAAAAATCACAAATTTTCAAAAAATTCAATCATGGATTACAAAAAATTCGATCATGGATTACATAAAATTCGATCATGGATTACAAAAAAAAACAAACATAAAAAAACAAAAAATTTAATCATGGATTAC